TATTCATATTATTATTCAAAATAAAACCATTCATACGTGAAGTTTGTTCACGTGGTATTGCTTTTCGTACATCTAATTCTTTATCATTAATTCGATGAGGTTTTTCAAGTATACAACGATCAACAGAATCATAATCATCAAATGTTATAAAAGCAAAACCACGAAATTTATCTATATAAATAAAAAGATTTTGTAAGAAAAAAAAAAAAAACATTGATCACTAGAAATGTGTGAGACCAAGATTTTTGTTTGTCTCGATCTCGATCTAGAGAAAACTATTTCAAAATTTATTTCTACTAAACCTAAAAATATTTCATCAATTCTTGTGTTTTTGATTTATTTAGACGATAACAAGCATCTTTATGTGATCGTCTCTGTTGAATTATATTCTGATTGATATAATTCATAGAATAATTTGCTTAGAACTATTTACTATAAATTTGATTTTTGATCTCACACATCTCTATTGATGACTGACAAACCTTCTTTAGTTTTCATGATTTTACATTCAATAATATTACCAAATTTTTGAAAATAAGATCTAGAACAACAAAAAATAATAGTTGTAATTTTTAATTTAAAAAAAAAAAATATTTTAATAAATTTACTTAAGATCATCTTCAGTTAATTCATCTTTAATAGCACCAATAAAAATTTTTTTAACTGTTAATTGTCCTTCTGATCTTAATGTTTCTTCACGTGGCATTGCACGTTTTGGTTCGATTTGTCGACCATCTATTATATGTGGTCGATGTGCCATAAAATGATCAATCATTGCACGATCTTTTAACATATAGAATAATACTCAATTTATTCAAATAGAATTTTATTCTACTAGGCAAACCTTTGAAATTAACAAAAGCAAAACCTCGTGATCGACCTTCACGATCACGCATAATCACACATTCAAGTATTTCACCGTACTTTGAGCAATATTCTCTAGAAATTTTTTTTTTAAAGATATAACAAAACCAAAACAAAATATGTTTTTTTTTTTGTTCTTTTACTTGAGTTTATCATCTGTAGTCGTATAACTTAAGCCACCAATAAATAATTTTCGATATTGTTCATCAGAATTATTTATAGAAGGTTTTTCATCCTCACCAGCAGAAGGGTTTGATATTAATGAGGGAGATTCTATGTTATCAACAGTTGATGAAGCCATTCTTATACTCTCTAAATCAACAAACAGATAAATGAATTTTAATTTATTTCAAATGAAAAGAATAAAAAATTTACCCAATGATCTAACTAAAATATAACTAACTTTTCTACACTTTCTACTAAAAAGAAAATCTGAAAAAGAAAAAAAAACAAAATTTCATCGAATTTATTGAATAGATATCGAAGTGTTGTTTCAAAAGAAATGTCATGTATTATTTTTCACTTCTTGTTTTTTGTTATTTGTTCAGTTTCAGTGATACAATAAGCTAAAAAAATATAGATAAATTTTCCTTTGGACAATAAATAAAAGAATAACATTTTTTAATCTTCACATAGATGCGGTCAGAGGTTATTTTGTTTTTGTTCTGATAAGAAAAATGAATTTGCATTAAATGTTGTCTTACAAAACAAAGATTAAGTAAAGGACATTCGCTAGTTCTTACTTTATATTACATAGGCAATATAATTTTTTTTATGACTCAATTAATTTTTGTTATTCACTAAACAGTAGACATCTTTCATCATTTGAGGACGGTAAATAAGAACAATTGATTTTTAGCTACTCAAATAGCAAAAACCAGCGCTTCACAATGCATCAATGCTTCAATTGAAGAAAAAAATTAGTTGCAAATAGTTTGTAAAAATTGCTAATTGATGATAACTAGATTTAATATTGATTATAAACTCAGATTTTTTGATAGTTTATACTTATTACACTAATTTTATGAGATTTTTCTGAAATTAAAAACAAACCTAATTCATTTACTTAATAATATCAGAATAAAATTTCAGAAATTTAATTTATTAATTGAATAAACGAAATCGATGACTACAAAAAGTAAAAACTGATACCAATATCACGCTTTCGCTTTATACAACTATGGCACATTTAAAAAAGTAAAGATCAATATGAGAATATATGAAAGATCGAACAAACAAATTTTTGAATAGTTAACATATGAATTTCTCCTATATTAATTGCAAAAGAGTGAAAATTTTTAATTTTAAGAGTATATCTATCCCTTAATATAAAATTTTACTAATTTCTATTGATAGTAATAGATACATGATTTTCTATTTAATCTATCTAAGAGTAAAAACACAATAAACAATTTTGAAAACAATGAAAAACTTATTAAGTAATTATTTTCTTCTCACCATTGTTTTTTTTTTCTATATTTTGAAATATCAATGATTATAAATTTATTTACGGAGTATTTTTATTGAGTTTTTAGGTTTATAATCTCATTCTCGAAATACCGCATCTTTCATATGTTCAATAATAAAACAATTATGGAAAATATTTTCGACGATTCTAAAAGAGAACTTTGATGTTTTATAATTGATGAAATATAAAACAGATAAACTGACCTATTATCAAATCGAAGATATGCATATTCTTTTAACATTTTTTTTTATCACAGAGTGAATACAAAACTAAGTTAATATATTAGCTAAACCTCGATATAAACATATCAAAGTATTAAATCAATGATAAGTATTTATATATATATATATATAACTTAAATCTCTTGAAATCATGAGAAAAGAAATAACTACATATATAGAAAAATAATGTGTATGTAAATCTGAAAACAACAAACTAGTAGACATTATTAGTTGTTTATTTATTTATTTGCATTCAAGAACAGCTGTAGTAGTAAACGATAATCATCAAGTTATTCGAGAGGTACCGACAGATGGCAGTATTGAATGATCATATTATCATCAAAATCTGTTTTAATTTAAGTATTTACAATAATATATTTAATTACAAAAAAACAAAAACAAAATTTTCTTCTTTATTAAAAAAAAAAAACTTAATTATTATAGGCAATCAAATAAAATTTACAATTTTGATTTAAATACTTATTAGATTTTTAAAAGAGATATTTGCATGTCACAATTGTCACTAATTGCAATTAAATCATTTTACTTTATCTCGATTAAAAATAATATCTATATGATTAACAATATTGATTAGATATTGTATATTATGTAAGATATCGTGTGTTTTATCTATGATATTTATGCGTAACAATGCAATGAGGTCTATCAAGTTCAGATATCGTCCTTTCATCAGAAAAGGAAAACCGAATAATAGTTGTCATTGACATTATCTCAGATGCTTTTTCTGTAAAAAACTTGAGTATATTTCTCTATTACTGACACTCTCCATAAGTAGTTTTACAATAAAAAATTCGAATATTTCCTCTCTATGGGTCCAAATATTTTTTTCCCTAAGATCTTTATGGCTTTACATGTTATCAAAGCAAAATAATAAGTGGCGGATAATACAGGAACAAAACTCATTCGATAGAGAATTTTCTACCCGATAAAACTATTGTCTTTTTTGTGTCAGTACAAAATTTGCAAAATGAGTACTTAACTATTTATCTGCTGTTTCTGATTTTCTACAGATAGCTATCAATGTATGACAGAGCTGATATTGTTCAGAAGAAAATGGTTTTGTATCAACACTTAGTAGTAATTTGAAACGTATTTTTGAAAGGTCATGTTTTCCAAAGCGAAACTTGGTCTATGCTACGCTTGTTCTCATGCTGCCGGGTGTAGATCCAAATTTAGAAATTTTTCTCGCATATATTGCTTCTCAAATTCTGAAGCATATCTAAAAATATATAGAATTTTGTGAAGACACAAAAACAATAATTTCGTAGAGAAAGAAATTCTCTATCGAATAAATCTAAAACGAAATCTCTAATGGGTTGGAAAATGCCATGAAAAAATTACTTCCGTTTATCATGTACCAATCGTTTAACTCTTGCTTTTATTTCATTTCACCTAAGAAAAGACAAATATTATTATGGTCAATCATCGATCATCCATACATGAAGTGGTTTCCAACTTAAAAGAGAAAAAAAATTAAGTTTACTACTGGAAAAAATAATGATCGATATTATTTTCAAATGAAAGCGTTCTGAACGTTGAAAATTTTTTTTAGAATGAACATCTTAAAAATTCGTATAAAAAATGATAATAGAATACATCGTCCAACAAGGATCGATTAGTCGAAAAATAAAATATTCTTCAATTAGTGATTAATCGATTGAATACGAACGCTTCTTTCCACATATGATCTTCATACAAATTTTAGATGTGTACAAACCAAGACAATGCGTTCAATCATCATCTCTATTTTCGATGAAATCTAGTTTGAGTTTGGATATTGTTATGCTTGTTAAAAATTGAGCAATTTTTATGCAGAAAGTTTATTTGTATGTCGCTTTATTTCATGGTAAAGTGTTTAACTGTCAGCTTCGGCAAAATAAATTCCATTTTTAAAGCTACTTAACTACGACATTTTCTGAGTAACTCAATGTGCATAGAAAAAAATTACCATGTATTTCATAGCGAAACACACAATCAACTATATTCATTGAAGAGCAAAATGTAGACATACATGAATCTATTAGGACTATCTTCAGCACTAATCAAGATAGACATTCTTTATTGAAGCCAATGATTAATCTTCAAAGAAATATTTATAAATGTTGTTCTTAGATGACAAAAAACCAAGTTTGCAGTCTTCTTGATCCTTCTGAAATTTCTTTTCAATAATCAGAACAAAAATATTGAAATGATATGAAATAATATCATAAGTACTTTTCTTTTCCCATGGACCCTATATGAGAAAAAACAATCCAACAGATGGAAATATTCTCATCAATGAAATTTATATTTGATGCTTTTTTTACAAATAATATCATTCATTTCATGAAAATTTCTATGCGAGAAAAAGATATGTAGACATCATAAAAGGTAAAACATATATTGAATTTCATATCTTTATTTTATTTTAATAGAAGTAATTAATCATGACGAATACAGATCTTCGACAACGACGACGTAAAGAAGATCAATCGTCAACATCGGTTGAAAACTTATCTAAACAACCGAAAAAAACTTATAGACAATATGTGATTATATTTTGTATTATTATTATATCATCTGTTCTATTAATCACTATAGTAAATCAATTAAAATTTTTTTTCATACATGATGAAATATCAGATGATAAATATTATCCGTCTGAAATACTCTATCTATTTCGAAAACATGATCGTGATAATGATAATTATTTATCCTTGGATGAATTTGAACCTATTGCTAGTCAATTAGGTCAAAAAAAAGTTCCAACAGATTATATTCAACCAATATTAAATACGGATCAATTAGTTACTATTGATGCTTTTTTTGAACCATTAAATTTTTCAACAATGACTAAAGATTTTCGTCATACATATTTTGTATGTTAACTAGATTTTCTATTATGATTTATTTATTTAATATGTTTCTTTTCTTGTAGACTAATTTAGATGAACTTCAATCATTAAAATTATGGAAACAACCTTATGTATCTCGCTTAAATTTTGCTGCACGTCATTTTAAATCATTTTTACCGAAAAAATCAATTGAAATTGGTAAACCATATTGGATTATTGAAGGTACTAAACATCAATTTGCCGAACATCTTCCAGCAAATCGGTATATAATTAATTCTAAAGAAAAATAATTTTCAAACAGAATTTACTTTTATAGATATTATCCACCAGATGTTTCACATGAACATATTATTATTCATCGTTTACTAAGCATGTTTCATCCACGTCCATTTATTTTTACTCGATTTCCACCACAAGGTACTGCTGCAGTTGTTCGTGCTCGACATGGTTCACTTCTTGATATTTATTTTCGGTTTGTAATTTCTTTTAACCATGCAAAAAAAAAATATTCATAATCTGTGTTTCATTAACAGATAGAATACTAACTCTGCTGATTGTTAGATCCATTGTGTAGATAAAAGTTCTAAGAGGGCATGTCCCATTAGCGTTTTCTTGTAATTAGCAAAAATATGAACTCAAACGAAAGTTATCAGTTGGAAAAAATTCTCTCTTAAGAACATTATTAACCAATCTTTGTCATGAAAGAGAAAATTATTGATTTGCCTTGTCATATTAATATAATAGATAATCGTATAATAGCCACAGAGCATCTTGAATATATAATGAAAAATTGAACACATCATAGATGATTGAAAAGTAATTTGAAAACATTAGATTAGAGTAAGAATTTTGCATTGTTTCCGAATATAGATTTAAAGTTAATATAAAGCTTCTGGTTTAGGAATTATGAATTCACCTTTTAGAAGCCTGCCAATTAAATTTGGAGAAATTTTAGCACGTTAATAGTAAACCAAAATAGAAATGAAAATCATTGCAAAGATAGCAAATGAAAGAGCAAACATTTCTGTATAGAATGGTATACTGACAATTACTTTGTTGCTAGTCATTTGTTAATAGTAAATATTTAGGTAAGGAAAACCGTGTCAGTTCAGGTAATTTTCTTGATTTTTATGGAAAAAATCGACAAATATAACGATTATGGTAAAAGAAACTATTGTTACAGAAGACTGTAATATTCTCCGTCCGCATCTCTCAACTTCTAAATCAAAAGTCCTTCGAAGAAATTTGAATATATATTTCGAAGAAAACACAAGATTCGCATTCTAATTCAATGATTTCAAATTTTTGTAGACTTGTTTCATCTTCACTCTCTGATATAACGAAAGAACAAAGACAGTTACAAATATTTTCTATTGCTATTTTGTTTATCCTAGAATTCATGTAGAATATCAACTTAATACACCACCATATCATCCATTTTGGTATATACCAGGTTTATTTCAAGGTCGTTTGATAATACGTGATGATGCTTCTGAATTAACCTATTTTAAAATGTATGTTCCCAATGACAAACGACTAAATGTTGGTGAGTATTTTTGTTACATGAAGTTTTTTCTTTAGAAAATTTATTGAAAAATTCTATTTTCATATTTTTGTTTTTGTAAAGATATGGAATGGATAGTAGAACGTGGTGGTCCATCAACTTCTATGGAAGTTGATATTGGTTATATGCCTCGAATGGAATTACGTTCAGCAGCACCATCTCTCAATATGAATGAAACAGGAATAACATCAGAACAATTTATAACATCAATGAATGAAAGTTTATATGATAGTTTATTAAAATCATTTAATACAATTGATGAAAATTTCAAGAATGAAAACGAAATATATGATTTACTTGAAAGAAAATTTTATCCATTTAAAGAAGTAATTTTTTGTTTTTTGACAAGTATTTTAAATTGATTTTTTTTTCTGCTAGATTCCATATTATGAGTATCGTCAAGCATTTCAAAAAGCTGAAGAAACGAATAAATTAGTTCATACAATTATTCTTTGGGGTGCACTTGATGATCAATCATGCTGAGGTTCGGGCCGAACTTTACGAGAAACAGGTTAAAGGAAACATTTCAAAAAACAACAAAACAAATTAAGTTTGTTCTTTTCTGTTTTTACTTAGTTCTCGAAAGTTCGGCCGTTTTAAATTTATTGCGTGAACATTTTGTATCAACATGGGCATTAGTTGTCGATTTAAAAGTAAATTCGTGGGTTGTAAAAACTATTAAGTAATTATTGTTTTTATTTAGGCAATCATAGCAAATCAAACAAGTGATACTATTAAAGATTCTCAACGTGCTAAACAAGCTCTTGATAATTATGCTTTTCCAGTTGAATCAATGGTACAACAAATCGATGGTACTGTTATCAGTAAACTTAATGCAAATGATTTATTAGATACACATTCAAAAGCAGAAGAATTTCTTAATATGTAAATCTTTTTTTTTTGATAAAATTATTTTTGTATTTTCTTTCTTTCTTTTTCAGAGTTTCTAATGGAATGGATATAACAATACAACGATATGTTCACTTTTTAGAAGAAGCACTTAATCGACAAAAATAATCATTTGATTCATAGATATTCATATTAATATTAGCTTAATGACAAAAAAATTAAATGATTGCTAGACTTCAAAGGATATCAATCAAAAGTTTAGCATGAATGTGTTTGTCATAGTTAATGAAAGATGAATATTACATAAATCATTTGAAGTTGATACTTTTATTTTTTTAGAATAAACACCAATAAAATTACATATAATAAAAAAAAAAAATTTTTTATTGACAAAAATATAATTCAAACTCAAACTACCATAAATCACAATATTAGTATTTTCCTAGAAGAACAATTCAACCTAATGATCAACTTAATATAATTGCTGACCATAGGTCTCGATATGAGAGGGCTAGTTTTTCTCTCTGACTTCTTACGTTGTGTCTGCAAAAATTCAGAGCTACTATTGAAAAATTGTCTACCAAGTTTAATAAGGTAGTTTTTCTCAGTTACTTTCTGCTTCTAAAAAACTATCGACAGGCCTGCGACTGATGTAAACATGTGCTGATCTATTGGTTATTTAGAATGCATTTAAGTCTCAATAGATTTGTGTAGTATCTTAATTTGGACCATCATCAATATTCCAAGGCACTCATATAATTTGCTGTTAACTAACGTATTGACAGAAAACTATTGCCTTATATAATTCATAAGGGTTATTTTAAAACTTACAATAACTATCATGGAAATAATATTTCGAGCATAGTATAAATAGTGGTAGAAGCACTGCAAAACCGTACAAGAAGATTTTCAGAAATTTTCAATTTGTGCTGCTACTAAAAATAATGCTCGATATTTTTTCAACGTTTCATCATTTTCAACTAATATCACACTGATTAAATGTCGATAAGAGGACTGTTTGTTATTATATGTGACAATACTACTTAAGCACTTTGAATGACCTTGGATATAACTAAGATAGAAAGTCATAACTTTTATCTTAAAAAAAAAAAAAAGAAAATAAAGATGCATCAATTCGTATATTATAGGTTTTTCAAAGTTTTCAATCGACTTTTTTTGAAAATAAATTTACTAATTGAAGATCTACAAAACCTCCTAACGCTCAAATGTTCATATTCCATCGTTCAGAAGTGTTTTTCTAAGAACTTCTATTTTAAGCAATTATTTGTTTTGTTGAATACTGGAGATTCTATAGAATTTCTGATTTCTGGACCCTCTAAGAATTACTGGATAGCAATTGCAGAGTGATGAAATGTAAGTTTCCTTCAGCACTCAATAAGATATAGAAATCTAAACTAAATACATAGCATTAACTATGCCAAATACATGAAGCTTAGCATCGTATCTTTCAACACAAATAAAAAATTTGTTTTGCTATAGATGTATCCAATTATTAAAAATGTATGTGACTAAAATGTAAGTTTTCTACTATGAGCAACCTATCGTGAAAAACTCTACTACAAGGCACTTCCGCATGATTATAATATTGACTGCACGATGCAAAATCACTATTTAATAGTTATACTAATCTACATGCTAGTGGATCAACTAAGTAACCATGATCACAGTGTTGTTTCAATAAATATAATGTAGAAAATAAGACAAAACCCATGCACAACATTATATTCACTTGTTTATTTGCGCGATGCACTGATGAATATTTAATCAAAAAGATAAAACGAATGGTATTGCTCGTCTTCATTTTTTAATATGTACAATGAAGATTGATAATCAAAACAGAAGTAATTGGAAAAAAACTGGAAACTTCGACTGAGATAAACAACATATTGTATATGGAAGTTTAATAAACAAATTATTGTACCAATACAATAGTCTCTCTACATTTTCTTGAAAAATTATGGCTAAAATCCGAGATTGGACAAAGAAAAACGTAATGAACAGAGAAACAAGAAAAATTTTCTAAGATTCTGAAAGATGCATTTACAATATTTTAAAATTGACAGGTAGCATCCATTGGATCCAAAATTTTCAGATCTGAGTTCGACGTAGACACCGTATTCCTGATGAAAACATTGTCAACAATGTTATGCTCGACAATAAGTCTTTAATCAGTATCTCATTCTATTACTTGTCTAAGAATGATACGTCCTTATATACCATCAATAACAATATTTATATATATTTCATATTCATAAAAATCCAAAAAAAAAAAAACGAATGAAAGAGAAAATTCTTTGTTTAAAATATAATTGTCAATAGGAAAATGTTCTAAGGTCCAAACATTGTTCGAGCAGTTGTTGGTTGTTGTTGATTATCAGTCGATGTTGGAATAATACCACCACCACTACCAGTTACACGTGAAAGAAACGATTTAAATACTGTTTTCTTCATTTCATCAGATATTTTTTCATTTGAACCAAACTAAAATAACAAAAAAATATTTCTTATTGACGAACAAAGAAAAAAATTCGATGTCTTTTATTCATACTTTACAACGAACAAAACCGTATAAATTTGTAATATTCAATGCTAATGCTACACCTGTTATAATCTAAATAATTATTCAATGATTTTTATTTTGATGTGCGAATGAGCAAGAAAGAAAAAAAACTTATTTACAATATATGTTGGAGAAAATAATGTTGTAATAGTTAAAATCATCCATAGAAGTATTGTAAATATTAATGAAAGCCAAAAAATATTCGATTCAATCGGTGAAACAGTATTTTTATCATTTCCCTTCAATAGAAATAAATAAATAATTTTTTCAATTAAAACAAACGAAAAAAAAAAATATATATATATTTTCATTTTCTTACTTTTTTTGATTCAAATATCCAATGATTATTTCCAGCATCATCAACATAATTCCAATAACGAAGGCCAGCTAATAAACGACCTGTTATATTTTTGACTGTCCAAAAATCCATTGAAAGTAATATTATTATAATAACAAATGATGTAACAAAACTTGCTTTTGCCCAAGAACATACAAAATAAGCAACTATAGCCAATGAACGAAATATCATATGAAAAAAGACAGCTATTGGATGCCTAAATTAGATTTAAAAAATCATGTTTGATTTTAATCATTTTATCTGAAACTTGCAATTAATTTCAACTGATACTAAGCAGATATTCATTATTTTAAATACAATACTAAATGAAATTTTTTGATGACTAAAATGTTTTAAAAATAAGTTTTCTATCGTGTTTTGCAACAAGTTCATGTAAATTCTTTAGTATTTTTCTTTTCATGATTCTAATAGAATATAAAACTTCGAAAGATGTTTTCGATTTTTAAAGAATGACCCTCTGAAAGATTTCTAGTGTCCAACACTATTTCGAATGTAATGTTTTAAAAAAAAAACTATTAAAGAGTTGAGATGAGCTTGTCGTCAAATACGTGCATTACGTTGAAACTAATTTACTTTTAAAAAGGCTTGATTATTAAAAATGTAATTCGTTTTCTATGCTTTCTATTTATATGAGTACAGTTTTCTTTTAGAATAACTTCAAAATCAAGAGTGAAAACATTGATTTCTATGCTAGAAATCATCAGAAACTATCGAAAATCTCCAGTGATAAAATTGACAATAAAGTTCTGATTTCTCTTGCTTGTTATTGATTTTCAATAATTGCTAACATTCCTAGTAATGGCTCTTGTTTGCTAATGATTTTAGTGATATAGACTACGTGAAATCAGAGCAATCATTATAAAACAAAGAAATTAGTTTGTTTCTTCCTGCTCCAACTGATAAATTATTTTTGAGTCGAGACTATTTCCATTAGATAGACTCAAGTGAACTATGAATATTCTGAAAAAAAGTTCATGTCTTCAGCTTATTATGACACTTTCAACTTCTCTGATTTGCTTCTATCCTGAAATATGAACATCGAATCTGCCGGTATAGATGAGCAATGTAAAAGACACATTTTTACCATCGATACAACTCAGGATATCAACAATGAAAAGATCTGTCTCGATGCGAAACTTCAAGATAAAAATTGAAAACCTCTTTTCTTTTTACCATAGCATTCATTCAGAATACACCATGAAAGTACACTATTTCTGCAGAGCAATAAGCTAAGAACACGAACTTTTTTCAGCATATTCACATCTTATTTAAATCTACATACTGCAAGTAGTGTCGACTCAAAAGTGATGTATCAAATACGAAATTTCGCTGGCTAAGTTTAAGGATCACCCAAAAAACTTTATCAAAAACAGTTGACATGTTCAGATTTCTATATACTCAAATTCGGCTATAACTCAACATTTAGAAGTAAATTTTTCTTTGAATATTGCATCAATACTGACTGTACTTTTGACGTAAACTGTTCATCAAAAGTAAGTTATACTAAAAAAGAAATTCTAACTACTGTATTTCATAATATTTACAAAATAAATCTATCACATTGATAACTTTACTCATCAATGTTTACAATCGTATATATCCTAATGTAAATATTTATAACTTTCAGAATGCTTTAAAATACTAAGATTTTTCTCAATACCTAGAAGAAAGATCAGAAATTTTTAATACCATATCTGAAAACTCTGTATGTTAGTTATTCTCAATATTTCTTTATGAAAATCAAGGACATGATGCTTGTCTACTTTTAAAAATTGTCCACGTAACATTCTTTTTAATGCAACTCTCTCTATCTTCAATGTTGAGTCACATCTATATTATTCAAACATACTTAAATCGTTTTGAAGCTGCAATTGATGGATCAAATGCTTCTAAAACTTCATCTTCATTTGATAATAATTGTGCCATTATTTAAATGTTCATTCAATTAAAAAAAACACGCAATGTTTTTCTGCTCGTTTTCAAATATAAATCAACCAATCAAAATAAATTATTCGACATGACAATCGATATTAAACCTCTCTTTGACATTCTTATTATTGGTATATGTCTTTGTCCATTAGAATATCTCTCAAATGCTGTCGTAGACAGGTGGTCGGTCAATTACCTTACGTAAAAAGAAAAAAAACGAATTTTATTGATTATATCTCAAGAATATTTATATTAACGTGTTGATTAAAAGAAATAATATTGATTTCTTTCGTTCATGTCGTTGGGTTATGACGAAATACTTGCTGATAATAGTTTCGGTCAAATAATTTTTGTAGCTCCAGATAAAAAGAAAACCATGTCTTCGTCAATGACAAATAATATTGATAGTAACATAAATGAAACTAAATCTTTATCTCTTACTGAGCAATATGGCTTTTCACTTGACAATTTATTTGATATGGCTCGACACTTTCTAAAAGGTAAATTTTGTTGAAGAAACAAAAAACCAAAAAAATAATTTCTTTTTTTTTCCCAATCCGTTTATTTATTTATTTATTTTGTTTATTATTTATAGATAAACAGGGAAGTAAAGCTATACAAATAAAATATGGTGAAAATTTACGTTTTGTTGCTTTATCAAAACAAGCAACAATTGGTAAATGGGATTCATCATATACACAAAATGTTGGTCTTCTGGATGTTGTTGGTAATGATCGAAAGTAAATGAAATAAATAAGAAGATAAATAGAATAAGAATCAAATTTATTGAAAATTTTTGTTTTTTTTTTTTTTTTAATTTTAGACAAGCATGGATTTCATTAGGTGATATGTCAAAAGAACAAGCAAAAGAAGAATATATTAAATTATTATTAGATCATTGTCCAATGTTTAAACATTATTTAGAAGCACATCATGTTGAAAATGAAGAAAAAGATCGATTAAAGTAAATTAATAATAATCATAATCAGTTTTATTTGATTTTTTTTCATAGATAAAAAACAAAAATGATTATGTCAGATGAGAGATCTTTTTGTTTTCTTATATTAAGGATAAAAAAAATATATTTAGAAAGTATGCGAATACAAAAAAAAATTTCATATAAGATGACACTTAACTCTTTCAAAAAAAAAAAAAAAGAAAATGTGAACTTGAAATTTTCAGATTTGAGTTTCAGTTGTTTTCTTTACTAACACCCACATCCATCTGACGGTTGGTGATATTCACTTGTTAGTGTTTTTGATTTGAGATAAGAAAATGATTCTTCTAAGATATCAGTTAAACGAATGAATTATCGAGTTATGAATCAATGTCGAAGTTTGAAAGTCATCAGTATGAGAAATGTACCAGACATTAGGATAGCTTACTAGACTTACTCGCTTCAAACACGTATAGATCATAATTTTTTGACTTGATTAGAGGCCTTGGAGGTCACCTACCTGGTTTTTCTTCTTAAATTTTCAAGAAAAAACTTCATGTTTTTGAACAATAAAAATGAAAACAATTTTTACTGCTGAAAAATGACCCAAAACATAGTCTTCTCGTCTTCCCAAAATTTTAAATCGTTTCTTCAGAAAAGATAATCTAAATAAAACACTCAAAGTGCAAAATGAATTTTTTCTTAGTTTAGTTGGACATAAGTATTCCTTAATAATACGTTCTCTATATTGTTGATTGATCATTTATTTAGTTTATTTGTCCTATTTACTTAGTTACTGTTTACTATTGCTTATAATCTTACAGTATTTGATTTTGATGCGTCTTACTTACTTAGCTAATTCATAAAATATTTTAAATATATTGAATTTTCCTAATTGTCTGTTTGCCTAGAAACATATATATTGATTTTAAATTAATAAATGTTTCATTTTGATCTACATAACTTCGTGGAGTTGTTATCAAGAAAATCTTCAGCCTTCAATCTCGTTCCACTATAAGATTAGTATACAACCAATGCACAAATCACAAATAGTAACAAGGTTAAAGAAAACACATGATAAACTAAAGAGTTCTATAACATTATCATGTGTCGGCTACTGTAAACCTTTGAAGTGTACTATCAGTTTCATTTTGATGAATCAAAATCAATTTTTTTCTAAATGTATTAATTAACAAAACTTAGATAAGAACTCTGATATGAAGGTGAGACATCAACAAATCGGTATATTTCATTCTAAAGATAATAGGTGTACCATTAAAAATAGTCTAGATTATACTTCTATTACTTATTGTCATGAATAATTAGTAATCAGAAATGAAATCGTTATCACTACAAGTTTCAGATGAATCGCTACCTATGTTTCTTATCAATTTTTTTTTTCTTAATTATCTTGTAAAGGATATGTAATGAGACTTTGTTGAATGTTGACTAGGTCAAATATCACACTATCTTCAGGTGAAATGTTATGATAACACATCAGTCCAATGTATGGATGAGTACCAGACCGACGGGTTCCATCTCTGGTCATTAGTTGTTATTCATAACAACAGCAACTAAAATGAATACATGTAGAAAACGAAAAAGCTTCAATTCAAAAGAAATTATTTGATTAGTTTTTCAAAGAATCATCAAGCCCTATATGACATAAAACTATGTCATTTAGTTGTCGAATGATATCCAAAATACTTTCATGATTCAACGTATTTTGATTTTTTTTTCTTCGATTAATGTTGCGATTTTCTCTACACTCTTATTTGTTTTTCTTCATACCTGTCGATAACAATGCCAATCATTATTTTAGCTTTTCTGCTTTTTTTTTCCTTTTCTTCTCATCAATATTGTCATATACTTCGTTGAACGATGATTAACATTTCGGTATTCTTTTCAACTCTTACTTCCTGTTCGCTTCTTTTCTTTCTATCATCTGATGACGGGCGTATATCGTCATTGGCGGTTGTTGTTTCTCTGCTAATAATCGCTGTTCGATTGCATTTTTCTTTTCTACTAGTGAACACGAATGGAAGGAAAAAAGAGAAGGAAAAGAAAAAAGAAAAAGAAAAAAAACGAGAGAGAATAAGGAAAAATATAGAACAATACAATGCGAACTTAACATTACAGTCATACTCAGATTTGATCTAGGAATAACAAGTTAGGCACGTAGAAGAACAAGGATTTGTTGTGTTCTTTCTGTCTTTTCCGTTTCTTCTTTTTCCTATCTATCCATCTCTGTCTCTCTGTTTCTAGTATTAGCTGCATGTTTAGATACAAAACTCGAAGCTTGTGTAATTATTTTTCTATTCGTCAAAAATTCTAGAATTAGAGTTGGTTCGATATTTTTCTCGTTAGTTTTTTTTTGTTGTGTTTTTCTAATTACATTTTTTTTAATGAATGTACAAAAGAATACAAACGATAATTTTATTTTTTTCTTTTGTATCACTTTGCCCAATCGACTCTAAATAGTATTAACGAATCGAGTGTACCATATGCTAATACGTCATTTCTTTTTTTTCTTTCTTTTTGGGTGAGCCTAGAATAGAATCATTCTTTCTACTGATGTTAGCTGAAGAGGAATAAAAAAAGCAAAAAAAAAAGTGTTCTGGCATTTGTTGTGACTGTCTACATATTTGTATGTAAATGTGGGTCTGTTTGATTTTATAGACGGGAAGATGAAGCTCGTTGTTTATTAGAACAAGAAGCTCAACGAGTAAAACAATACGAACTCGAACAGGTGTCACGTTTAGAAGAACAAAAGAAAAAACGAGAAGAATTTCAACGGTAATTAATCAAATCAAAAGAAATTTATCTTATAAAAAAATAAATAAATTTGTTTTTAGCAAACAAATTCAAAACGCTCTTAATCAACAAACATATCCACAATTTAAAGCTTACGCTGAACAACAATTTAAAGATAATAGACAAGCAGTATGAATATTTAATATTTTAATTTTTGATTTATTATTATTTTTTTTCATTATTTTTAGCAAGACGAATTAATTCGTCAATTACAAGAGCAACATTTCCAACAGTATATGCAACGAGTTTATCAACAACAATTACTTTCTCAACAACAGCAACATCGAACTGTAAGATTTATCAGCAAAAAAAAAAAAACATCCGATGAATCTTTTTTTTTTTTTTTTTCATCATAGAAACCAAATATGGAACAACAACCAGCAACATCACCATCTATAAATCAAATGCCACCTCTTAGTATGGCACCAATACAACTACCACCTATAGTTCATCCACCACCTCAATCCGTAGCTAATGGTACTAATTCTATCGACGAAACTAAAATAGAACCAACTATTCCTATTCATACTCAATTCGAATCTCTTTCTCTTAATCCATCTTTACAACCATCTGCTCGTAATGATTTATCTCAACCAAAATTTCCATCAGTTCAAATGAACAATGAATTTAGTGGTACACAACAATCAATTGATGATCATCCAATAGATAATGATGTTACTATCAATTCTACTAATGAATTATCAAGTGAAGATGGTACACGTGGTATGTATAGTAGTTGATAAAAGTTTTCATAGAAGATCTCAACTTTTATACATGTAGAAGGTTTGAAAAATCATGATGAATGACATTGATTTTTGTTTAAAACTTTTTAGAAGTGAAAAAGTTATCTGTTGAATATTGCATTACTTTCTATTACATACATGACTGATTCTTGATATTTTCATTTGCAATTGAAGCTCCATATATGATCTTTTATCGTTTAAAAGATCATGTAATTTGCTATCGCTCGATGTCTTTGAATCTTCGACACGAATATCATGATTATTAACATACTGTTTTCCTTTCGAGAAAGGTTCTTTTCTGAGATTTCTAGGCAATAATATTCAACTAAATGCGCGGCTTCATCAAAAAGTTTATGCTTAATTTATTCAAGTATTATTGATCAAAGATGAAACTAGTCTAGGTTCTTATGATCGGTACCGATTCCATCTCTATTATTGAGTTAGGATCTACAGAGAGCAGCAAGTAATTTTTTACTATTCAAATATTCAGAGTAAAATGATTACTATTCTAGCAGGAGTTTATAGGCTTCAATGAAACTAATAGTGCTAATAGCTACAAATAATGAGGAAATTGCTTCTTTTTCAGAAGAATAAAGTTCAAAGAAAACGAAGCACTCTTCATCATAGTTACCGTTATGCTTAAGCAATCAGATCAAGCTAATGGCTCTAATACTACATTCTCAATGAATTAGAATCATAGACATTTTCAAACTTACAATGCCTACAATAGTTGAGATACTTTTGTCTGTTACTATATTTAAATTGAATTTAACTTTTTATTTATTCATTTTTTTTCTTTTGTATATTTTAAATATATAGAATATCCAACTTTAGCACCAGCTAGTATGTGGACACGTAAAGATATTAAAGAATTTAAAGATGCTGTACGTAAAGAAAAAGATGCTGTTATTAAAATTGGTAGTGGTGAAACAGTTACCGTAAGATAAAATATTAATATATATATCTATGTATATATAGAAAGAAAATAATTTAGGTACGTGTTCCAACACATGAAGATGGTCGTTGTATTTTTTGGGAATTTGCAACAGATTACTATGATATTGGTTTTGGTCTTTATTTTGAATGGAGTCAAGTACAATCGAATACTGTTACTGTTCATGTAAGTGATTCAAGTGAAGACGAAGAAGATGAAGGTGAAGAGGGTACAAATCGTATGTATTTACAAAAAAAAAAAAATATTCAATAAATAATAATTTCTATAATTTTAGAAGAAAAAAAAGATATTGAAAAAGGTTCACGAAATAATAATAAACCGCCCAAACCATATCAAGATGAAATCGTTCCAATATTTCGACGTGATTCACATGAAGAAATTTATGCTGGTAGTCATCCATATCCTGGAAATGGAGTTTATTTACTTAAATTTGATAACAGTTATTCATTATGGCGTTCGAAAACACTTTATTATCGTGTTTATTATTCAAGATAAACATAAACAATAATGCGTGAACATTGTTTTTTTTTCTTTTTTTTTTCTCTTTTCTTTCTTTTTACATTCATTCATTTATTTAATTTCATTTTATGTTAATGTTCGTCTACAATTGTGATTTTAATGCTTTACTTCTATGAATTTTTTTTTTTCTTTTTAAAACTTATATTCATATAGTTTTTGTTATAATGAAACGAAAGAAAAAAAAAAAAGGTTTTGACCATGGATGATGTTTGGATGTGTCATTTAATTTTACTCTTATGAAATTTCGTTTTCTTTTTTTTGTTTTCGTCGAATTAAAAGAATAGATGAGGGAAAAGCAGACAAACAAATATTTATTCGACGATTTATGAAAGAAAAAAAAAAAAGAATCTCTGTTTTTGATTTGTCGTAGTTTTATTTTGTTTTTAACATTTTATTGTTTGAATATTTTTAAAGAAAGAATTAATAACAATTACAAGATATTTTAGGAATTTTGTTTTGTTCATTCGTTTAACTTAAATAAATAAATAAATAAATAAAAAACAACAACAACTTATTTTGTAGATATGAATAAGTACGAACAAATAGGAGCTCAAGAACTTCTGTCAATGTTAAATGATGGAGAATTAATGTCAGTTAAAGATACTGTGACAAAATCAATGATACCAACAAATTCTGTAAGAAAAATTTTCATTTTAATTCTTTAGGTTACTTTTTTTTTCTGATTTAGCGCTCAGAAGCTATTGATGCTTGTCTGAAATGTTCACAATCAGCAATGCAATTATTACGACGAAAAAAAATTCGACGTGATATTCTTATGCAATATTTAGCTAGAAAATCTATACCTGTTGGAGCAGGTACCGATAAAGTATGTAAAAATAAAAACAAAATACTTGCATTCATTTATTATTTTCTTGTGTAACATCTATATTATGATTTTCGAACAAGATTATAGTGAGTGGAAATTTTAAGTCGAGGTTTTACGGCTTCTCCCCAACGCTACGAGGACAGAAAGAGAGATTAACAGTCATTAAGTACGATTTCATAGTAATCAAGGACAGTAGATATCAGATTGTTTTTCCAGCATGGAAACAAGCTCAATTGAGATTCTCGATTTCAACTCATATTCATCACAGAGAAAGTGCTCGGGAAGACTAGAAAAAGGTCGTTTTCATGAGCCTTAAACACTAACTTATGATCGATTTACTAAACTTTGCGATTCATTTGTAAATCGTTCTTAAAAAAATCAAATCATAGAGTTTTGATCTTGAAATTTTGTCAATGAATAGGCCAAATCACTCTAAGAATATTCTGAAAGTCTAAGGCAAAATGAGTGTTTCTTTATTAAGATATGGAATTTCTCCGCTCTTTCTATAGGCAAAATTTTAAATCGAAAGTATGTTATTGAATTGTTTGAGAAGTACTTAAACGTGGATTGAATATCAAATAAATCAATTATAACTCGATGCCAAAAATCTTATAAGCACAAGACTCTATTGAGATAAATAATAGTGAGTTGTGACTAGCTGTAGCTTTAATGGATATAAACAACAGACTTATTAGTTATTTAAATTAAAAACAATCGAATACAAAAATGAATAGCAACATGTTAAACAAAAAAAAACGTAGAACGTTGTTAAAACAATTCTATTCGAAGTATAGAAATAAATAAGACAGATCGTTTCTCTAATGATCGATTGATTCTTGAAAAACAACTATAGTCTGTTAGTGATTTTCCACTTGATGAGTTTTCTATTAGTATCATGATGTTAAAGAATATATGTGATTTCCACATATTAGTCTCCAAGGGATTATGTTGACAAGCTTTTCTTTTTGTTTTTTAATATCGTCATCAAAGAATAATCTATATTCGTTATTTTTTTTTTTTGTGAGTTAATTGACTTCATTTGAATATCTTTGTTTTTGATGAACAAAAAAAAGGAAAATATGGATTATGACTAGTCAAATAACTCTTGGAAGATAGATTGAAAGCAGAATATTAATTACCATGATGGGTTGCTGCTCTTTCTTCATAGATGCATATATAAAATGTAAAATAATATTTTTATTTTTCTAACATATATGTCGAAATAACCTTTCTTTTTTTTTCATTAATTTAAAAAACCTCTTCATATAATTTAAATAAGATGATCATAAGGATAAACGAACCTATTATGATCTTTCTTCTTTAATTTCCGGATTATATGTAAGATAAGAATAAAAATATATTAGCAAAGTCAAACCATTTTCATATACTATTCAATATCAAAATCTAACGTAAAAAACTATGTCAATTATATAATCGTTTATAATCAATGAAATTAGATGTTAATAAAACTCAACAGAATTCATTCCTAAGGGATCAAAATTCCAATATCATGAACATCTCAGTAGAATTCAAGTTTATATGAAAAATATTAGAAAGAATATGAAATGGTATCTATATTTATAAACCGATGAGAAAAATTTTTATAAACACTATTATACCATATTATTGATTTCTAAATCCACCAATATTTTTTTGGCATAAAGAATAATGTCTGAACTACAAAATTTTACACGTGTTTTTGATACTTTAGTGAATAGATATTTTTTTAGAAACTATCAATATCTAAGAACATCACCCCATTATCTTTAACAATCGTTCGTACACTTACTAGTTTTTTTTGTATTATTTCTGTAAAATATGTGAGATTATCGGCTCGTGAAAACAATCGAAAATTTTTTTGAACTCGTTCATAAACAATAAAGTGTTAATTGCCAATATATCATTGACAAGAGCAATCTTTTATGTTACGAAAATCATTATTAAACGTATTTTTCTCATGTTCTCTTACTATCAAAATAAAAACTTCAATTAGAATAGAAAAATAATGTTTTTTTAACGAATTTTCTAGTTCTAACATAGCTCTTTTCAACAGAAAAAAATTTATTGACTTGAAAGTAGATAACATAGTCAAACAGTATTTGACATTTTTATAAAGACTTTTGTATCATATGTTAGTACTTGTGACTCGAGAATGTTCTAAAACACAAATAATTTTAAATGTATTGAGTGTTAAAGAAAAAAAAAACTATTTGTAAGGATCCTAGTGGATAAGATGATCATCCTTCATTTAAATAGTCGTCTACATCATTTTCTAGAACAACTCATGACATATTAAATGGCATAAAGGAAATTGCATTTTCATCACTCCGTATATTCTCAAAGTAACCTATGTAAAACTTCGTTCTAAGTTAATTTGTTTGACCTTTAATCGTGCATATCTAATAATTTGAAACTTCTTCATAGTGCTCTTCAAGGCAAAGACGATCAATCGTACAACTTTCTCTAAAATCCTATATTATCAAGCTCTATAATTTGAGAATTAATCGATCATCGAATCGAAGTGCATTATCTCTAGACAAAATCTCTTATTGACTTTTCAGCCTCTTAAAGTAGTCAGCAGAAATTAGAAAACATTGGATTAGAATCAAATTTTCTCTAGCATTCCTGATTTAACAATTTTATGAGCTGAACTTTTAGAGACGTGAAAATTAAGTTTCAATGAAGATATGTCAAATGCTCTTTGCAGCATTAGTCTTCTTTATTGCATATGTTACATTATCGAGTTTTTAACAGAGAATTAAAGGTTACCATGTAATAGCCTGAAATTTCGATGGTCAAACTCATAAATGACAATTAAATTTGTTTGTTTATGAATTGAAATAATCTTTTAACATTTCTTAATTCTAATTTTTAATTAATTTCATCTTTTCTTTTTCAGGTTCGACTAATTAAACAAATAATTGAATTTTGGAATAATGGATCACAAACTGTAACAACAAATCCGTCACAAACAATAGCAACAAAATCAAGTATTGATCAATTATCACATCAATTTACTGAATGGTTTTATACATCATGGAATACTCTAACAACATTTACATCTGATCATTTCTTTCCGGATTGTCAATTGACACTTATACATGAAAATCAACGTCGAATATTAGGTTCATATTATGTATGTGAGCTTCTTCGTTCATATGTAGCTAATCAAGAATTACGTTTTTGTCCAAATATACAATCAAATAAAGCTAATGAATCAAGACACGGTCTTGTACTTTTACAAATTCATGGTACAATTCATCAACGTGGTACATGTGTTGGAATATTTGATCAAGCATTTGGTTTAATACGTGATCCAACACATTCTAATAATTATTTAATCAAATTTTGTTTTCTTAATATGCAAACACAACAATCTCAACAACAACCACAATTATTATCAACAAATCTACCGACACCAACTTATCTTATTGAAATAATGCAAAATTATGATCAAACAATACAACAACAGATTGATTCAACTGATTATATTATTGATGATGAAGATGATGATGACGATACTGATTAATACGAAATATTATATTTTTTTTTTTTGTGTTTTTGTTTGAACAGTTGTTTTTCTTTGTTTATTCGATACATGACGAAACTACTTTTCGTTTCAATGTATAATATATTCCACTGTTTTTTTTTTGAATCATTTTTGATAGAAACATCATAGAGACCTATCGGTGTTCACCATTCAAAAACCATCCAAACAAGGTGGAATTTGATTGGTCAGTAATTGATTAATCACCTGAGTTCTTGATGAATATTTTCGAATGATCTATGCAAAGCCGACATTTTTAACTTGTTCCATTCCAGAGTTATAAAGTTTTTCCTAAGACCTACCATTTCACCCAATTGACCTGTGATTACCCGAAAGAGAAATTAGGTGCGGGTAGCTTTCATCATGCTGACTGAAATGGTGATATTTATTTTTATTTTCAAACCGTTCTGACTCAGTTATCTCAATATATTTGAAATTTAACAATCAGCCTTTATATAATGAAGCAGTCGATAAATGTCAGATTATTTCGAACATAAACAAACAAATATCACTATTCAACTCAACATAGTAGATTATCCCTGCTCTAGCTTCTTTTCCGAGAGATCACAAGTCATTTGATCGATATTGATGGTCTCATACAAAATTGTATAACTCTCAAATAGAACAAGTTATAAATACTGACCTTGTGCAGGTCGTTCGCCAACAACTCACGTGATTAATCAATTGCTGACTAATCAAATATCAACATACTTCGATGGTCTTGAGTCTTCTCTGTTGAATGATGAAAATTGCCAATCTCTATGATACTGCTATTAAAATTTATTCAAACAAAATTCGTGCACATTACATTTAGAAATGAACAGCAGTTGAAAAATTATACTAAGCAAGAGAGGAAAAAAAAACCAAAACAAAAAATAAATAAAGTCTTATATATCATTTTCGTTGACAATTTGTATATTTTAATTTAAGATCATAACATATTTTTATATCAATTAAATCTGTGCCTTTCATGTAAATAATCATGTTATTTGAACGTAAAGATGGATTTTTTTCTATAAATGCTTTTTTTAATTTATATTGATCCATACGTTTATCGCGTAAAAGTTGTTGCATATCGGGTATTTTTAATGCTGTAAAAAGTTTCTCAATTGTATTTAAATATTCTTCAGCAGTACGAAAACCACATGTACCTAATAAAAAAAATTTTATAAAATATTTACTTGAATTTTTTTTTTTCTATGAATCATTTACCGTGTTTTTCCCATTCGGCTTGAATAAGTGATTCATCGGGCATCATACAAAAATGGCGTTTGATCTAAAACAAGACAAACGAAAAGATAGACATCAACCACAACTTAAAGGCAAGTATGACTCTTTTTTGAACGACCATGTCACCGAAGAAAATTTGAACCGTAGTTACTAGATAATCGCTTCGCCTTGACTGAACAACTATACTTTTCTTTGTGAGGAACATCATGTTTAAAATAGCTTTAAAAATAAATTTAGCTACAAAATAAGTTAAGACGGAGACGAATACTGTATAAGTCTATGTATGTCTGATTAAATCTTATCCAATTAAATACTTTTTTCTGATATTTTCAACTTTTATGTTGCTGTTCTTAGGTAAGTGTTCAGAAATTAAGTGTTTTTTTTTGTTAAAGAAATATTATGACTTAATAAATATAGGGAAGATATTGGCTACAAAGAACTTTTTCAATTATCATAAAATGAAACGCACATCTCTAGTATAGATTAAAAATTTTAGTCATTATTCTATAAATTTTGTATGTACAATAACCTATAATGCGAACGTCTTGGCACCAAAAATGCGCTCATCTTTTGGCCACTATAAAACAACTAGTTAGAGCTAGTTGCAATCATAATTTTTCATTTTTTCCAAATGTATGTGCAGATTTCCCTTCTGGATTAAGATTGAGCAACTATCAGTAAATTTTGTGAAAAAGTTCAAAATTGAATCTATATAGAGCAAAATAGTGTTTTTTGGCACAAATTTAATTCAACATTATCACAGAACACTAAATTCAATATTAAATAAGATAAATCTCTACGTTTCTACTAAAGAATTAGCTTCTATGCAAATTGGCATTGGTTAAAAAAAATCACTGTTCTAAAAAACTACTTTTAAAAATATAAAATTTTTATAAATGTGTCAGTCAAAGTTAATTTGTACATTTGATAGAACAAAAAGAAACCTGATCGATTGAAAACTGTTTCATTTTTTGAGCTTGATCTAATTAAATAGTTGTCTTTAAATGAAAAAAAAAAGAACTTTCTATTGATTATAAATTTCTACCAGAAAATAATATTTACTGTTGTTAGAGGTAGTGCTTCTGAATTTCGACAATTACGTGGATGTTGTCGAAGAGTTCTAGCCCTTCTTGATTGTGCCCAAAGACCATGTCTAAATATTTTTGAAAATACAAATTAAAAACAAAAAACTGAATCTCAATTATTTCTTACACAACCAAACCAAAATCATCATATTGACATTGAAAAGTATGATTACGTTTAGTTGATGGTAAGTGTTTACAGAATGATGGCGACCATGAAAGTACTAACATATAATAATCTGTTTTAGAATTAGGTGTTGCCCATTCATGTTGTTGTTTACTATAGTCGAAATCATAATTACTGAATAGAAATTTAGAAAAATAAATCTTTACAAAAAAAATATTAAGAAGTGATTTTTAGCAATACGTTTTCCAACGTGGAGGTAATCGACAAACATTTGGAGCACCATTACAAATACCACATAAAATAAGAAAAAGTATAACGAAGATCATCGATTTTGTTTTTGTTTCAAATAATCTATAGCAAAAAACTAACAGAAACCTAATTATTGCATTCCACATCGTTTCCGAAGGATATATGTCAAAACAATCTATATATCGATAGGAAATGTTTATTCTGTGCATTGTTTATAATAGAAAATAGCTAATGCTTGTTAACATGTTTCAAGGATATGTTTAGATGCCTTACAAGAAATGCTTTAGGAGTCTATGGCATCAATGTTCCATGTTGTTAATCAATGTACTATTAATGTATAGTTTATTTATTTTGATCTATATTTTCTTTTTGTATGGATGGAAATATTTTAGATTAAGTGCATTTCCCTAGAAATAACGAAAATATTCTATCAATAATAAATTTTCCTATTTCCGACGAATAGAACAAAGAAAAAGAAAAAAAAGAAGCAAATGAGTAATGCGTCAAATAGAATGAAATAGAACAGCGTACAACAATGATGCAAGACATTAAGCAAATAATACACATTCAACATATTCTAATAGTAGTAATTAGTTTGGTATAATAGTGACACATATGTTCCAGTAATGGCAATGATTTATATAAGAAATACATTTCTTAAAATTTCAATTTTTTGTTTTTTTTGTTTAACTGCTATGAATTGATGATACAAAACTGGATATTATTATTAGTATTATAACGAACTTGCATCAATCAACTATTTATTCATTATATAATCATGGAAAGAAAGCAGCTGGAAATGGATGAGTCAAAAGTCATTGACCGACTAATGACTAACAGACTAAACTTGAACCATGCTATTTATATATACACATATAAGAGATGGAAAGCGTAAGAAAGCAAAAGAAAAAAAGATGAATGAACAATTGATGAATTGTTGTCCGTCATATTAATACTCTATATTATATGATTTATCTTGTTTTAAATACAATACTATCAATTATAGTTCTTTGCAAGGTTTTAATTAACAATGAATATATTCATAGTCTAATAGATATTTTTGATTTATTCATTTGTTTAGTCCTATATTGATTTTCTAGTTTGTTGAACGATACAAAATTATTCATATTTTTTGCAAATAGATTTAAACTTAGTTTAACTAAGTGAAACATTAAATATATAACGAATGATACATTTATGTAACAATTTTGAATATATATCTAATCAACTACCTACTTAATTTAGTTTTGTCTTTTCTGTTTGTATACATCATTATTTCTTTGTTTAGATCATATTTTCTCATTAGAAGCAATAACAATGGTTATTTATCTAGTTGACGACAATTTATACTAGAATTGTATGAGAAAAAGCAAATAGAAGAAAGTTATATAATTGGTATCATTAGATTTGTTGTTCCATGTTAACGTATATAGATATGCAATGATTACATATTTTCTCGATTAACCGCCTGCTCGTTTCTGTTCTTCTCAAAGAATGACAGCGTCATCTTTTAGTATGTGTAGTTAATCCATCATCAAGCAGATATCTGTTCTTAACGTCAACAGAACAAGAACAACAGTAATGAAATGTGCGCGTGAGAACAGAACATTGCGTTGGTGGACTTCTTTCTTTCTTTTTTTCTATTTGTATCTCTGTCGGAATGAAGAAAAAAAGAGATTCCATTTCTCTACTAGAATTACTCTGCCAGTCTGTATCTGTGTGCTGTGAATAATAAATAAAGTGCAATAAATAAACCAACATCAATATATATACACATATATACTGACGAAAAATAAAAAAAAAGCAAGTCGCTATCAAATATTTATAATCGATTTCGAATACATATATTAGTAAAACACAACTTCAATTAACAACGCAAGTATTACATGATCATATTGAAAATAAAATTTGAAAATGAAAATATATTTAATTTAGAATGGCTGATTTTAGACGTATAGTTATAATTCTTATGGCAATAGCTTGTGTTATAAACGTCATTGGTGTTATTCATTGTCATGTTAATTATCCGAGTGCTCCAGCATGGTATACATATCGAACAAGTTATTCAATAATATTTCCTATTTGTAAGTTCAAAATGAATATTAACATATCTCTTTTGTGAACTTATATTTAAATAAATTTAGTATTGTCTTTAACTGGTTTTCTTCTAATTGAACAATTATTAGTTACAGACGGAACGGTAGCTCCACTTAATCGACTTCGTATTATTTATGCATTTGGTGCTGCTATTCTTCTAATCATTTTTGGTATTAGTCTTGCAATTGTAGCTAGTCGCTTGTATAGTACTTATCCTTATCACACCTATCATCATAGTAAGAATTCTTATTTTTTTTTTTTTACTTTTTTAACTAAAACAATAACATTTGGTTCTCTTTCAGATGCCATCATTGCTGCCGTTATAGCTTTTATTGATGCTGTGGTTTATATTGGAGAAGCAATATGTCGTAATCGCAATAGTCGTATCATCTAAAATAGGATACAAAAATACACCAAGAAAGACAAATTGTTTGTAGTGTTGTTGTGTTTTTTTTTTTCTCTTTGGCGAATATAGATTCTTTATGTATTCTATTACTATGAATAATTGCTAGCAACTGTTCTGATCATATTCTTTTCTATTCGTTATTTGCTTTTCTTTCTCTGATTTCTCTTCATTGTATCGTATGTTTAGTAGTGTTCGTATAAAATTTATTTATTAACAAAAAAAAAAAAAAAACACAACAATGAAATTATTTATATTATTATATTTTGTGATCTTTTTTAATTTATCATTAAGTTGGTTTACAGGTGGAAGACGTCGTAGTAGTACATGTCGAGAATATTTTGGTCATGAATCAACAAATAAACTTCTTCTTGTTAGTCTTGAACCAGTTAAAAGTGATTTACGTGTTGATTTTCGATCATATATACCATCATCAGCACCAATACCATCATATAAAAAAATACGTTTTATAAATCATTGTTGTTTTATATTTCCATCAACAAAAACAGCATGGAAAACAGATATGGAATTTTTTGGTCGTCGACAACGTTTATTAGAAATTGGTGAACGTGGAAGTAAAATAAAACATATAACAATACCATCAGATTTAAATGAAAGAAATATACTTTTATATACAAAAGAAAATCGTCTTAGTTGGTCAACATGTGCACAATTAGAACAATTAACTAAAATTTCATGTGATTCATATTGGTTAAAAGGTTGTATTGTACGAGAACATGGACCATATACATGGTATTGTAATATAACACAACATATTTCTTATACTGATGATATTCCAAGTATTACAGCTTTACAAGCTGGTTCAGATTTTATGGAAACTCGTAATCCAAGTATGAAAACCAGTTGTTAAAAGAAAAATTACGTTGAAAATATTTCAAGTTTCTTTTGTGTATTGTCATGATTTTTTTTTTGGCTTTTCTATAATTTAATCTTATCCATCGTGTATAAAAACAAGATTATATCACGAGACTAATATGCATACGTGACATGCTAATAATCACTAAAATATGTTTTTTTTTCTCCGTTATATCTGATGATGAAACTAGAAGTCAATTTTTAGTATAACAACAAAAGACTAGTAGTGTCAGATTAGCATTATTAGTAAAATTAACTTTAATGCCAAATTGTTAGCATTAAATTAGTATCATTTTTAATTCTAATAAAGATGTTACCTGCGGCTATACCTTTGCGAATTCATGTTGAAAAATTTCCGATAATTGAACAAACGTTTTTTTAACCGTTAATGCCATTCCTGAAACGGAACGAAACTGTACGGTTTAGAAACTTCTAAGCTCAGAATATTCGAGCTCTATTCATCGATAATCAATGTATTAGTATTTAAAATAATGTTAATTTAATGCTAACACCGTAGCATTAGTGAGTTCTCATATTAATAATACCAAAGTATTAACCTTACTTTTAATACTACTGCGTCAATCATTAACTTTAGTATTAATAAATGCTTACGCTAATAGAGATCGGACCAATTCGGTTTCAAAAAAATACAAATCGATCTCATCTCTGAATGCTGATTCTAATATGACTTCTGTGAAAAAGACCAATGAATGAAATCATGTCCAAAACATGGCTCGATCAATACCATTGATATAGAATTGTCATCCGAGAAAAAAAAGTCATAATCCAGTTTATACATTTCATACTATCAATGTTTATATAGAAATGAATTAACTCAAGAGTGAAACGTAAGGCGTATGAAAGATGCTATGAATACAATGAGACGAACAAAATACGAATGTGGCAAGTTCTCCAACCGTTCAGTTGAGATTATGTGCATTATTTAGATTCAAATAAACTATGAGTACTCTTAAAAAAAGAGTTCATATTCTCAGTATATTGTTATGGACATATTGTATCTTTGCAGTAATTTTTAAATGAATGTCTTGATATCAGAAAAACTGATTTTCGAATCTCTACTTGAAAGAATCTTTACAAAAAGGTCTTAACGAGAGTACTTTCAGATCGTTTGATTTGCTGCTATCCTGAAATAAGAAAATCCAATCATCTGGTTTACATGAGTGATATAAAAGACACGCTATTACCATAACTGTATCTTAAGATAGAGACATTGAGAAGACTAACAATATCCATGATCTAGATATTAGAAATTCTACATAGCATTCCTAAAATTCAACAAAACAAACATCTCTACATTTGTACAGACGAAGAGAAATCAAGCAATTCATAACTACTCTATGAATTCAAGAGAATTCTAGAAACCAGGAGTAACAGAAAAATGTATACCTTCATAGATATTGTTCAGCATTGGAATTCTATTCTATTGTTGGACTTATTATACATTTCTTGATTCACTTGGATGTTTATCAATCGATAAATCTGTGTATTACTGTTTTAGAATAGAATTTTATACAATTTCCAATTATTAGATCGTAAATATATCTCGGATATTCATAGCTCATTTGAACCTATACCATGCACATAGTTTCGACTAGAAAGCCATTTAACAGTTGAAGGACTTGCATAATAATAATATAAGAATTCATAAGTCTTTCTTCTTCCTAAGGTGTAACTATACACTTTACAGAGTTTTCTATCTATAACAACAAATTTATCAAAGAGTCAAATAATAAAATTTCAATTTGAAATTTTGCTTTCGTATAAGTCTTATGATCTTCTCAACAATCTAAATATTGCATTGAATTTTCGTGAAATTCGATAGGATAAGAGAGAATGGTCCATTCTGATGAAGATATTATAGTTGCTATAGTGGTCATAAGATTTATAAGTAGAGAAAATTTCAAATCGAAATTTTGTAATTTGATTTTTTAATAAATCTAATAAAAATAATTAGTTATACCTCAGAGGAAAAGACCTATCGACTTTCATCTTCTTACTGTTTCATTCGTGTTACTAAGTCTTATTTACCAGTAAAATATTAGCACAAAAGCTTTTAATCACTTAAAATAATTCTCGTATAAGTTACATTTGAATTTAATGCAAAATTGAAGTGAATGTGTCTATACTTGGATTTATTTCTATTTTCTATATGAGTTTATAGTTGTCAAAATATTTACAAAGTCCTCAGAAATTGACTTTAAATTACACAAATATATCTATACTATGTAATATTGAACATATGATTGCGTCTTAATTAAGGAAATATTCCGAAATATCGAAGTTTTTCTCTTTAAGAAGGTTACATCGTACATATTGACATCATAATTAAAACATTTAATAATCATTTTTAACAAAAAAATGGTATTGAATGATATAATCATTTGATAACGGTAACTTATCACTTGACTTTTCTGTAATCTACATTATCTTCAAGTACTATGCACTTGATTTCTTTTCAAAAGAAGAAAAAGAAAAATAAACTCGAATCTTTTCTGTTAAAACATTAACTGAAAATTTCAGCTTCATATCTATAATAGAATAATACATAATAAATTTTCTTCAATATTATTTCTATTTTTTACTTTTAAATTGAGTTTCTGTTAGATTTACAATAGCCAATCATTTCATCAAAAAAATAAACACACTAAACATGATTAATACAAACGGATATTAATTATAAATTCCAGACATACAAGAATAAAGATTACTATGATCATCATCCACTATAATCCACATGGGATCAAGGCTAATCGCTTTTATTGTCTGATCTCTTTCATAAAAAGCTGAAAGCCACTCGAAATAGTTAAATACAATTATTTATCATCATATCGTTCATTTAATATATATATATTTTTTAAATTATTCTTCTCATTGACATACAAAAAAAAAAAAACACATTGACACATACAAAAAAAATTCATCTATCACGATGTTTCTTAATCATGGTAATTTTTTTAAAACTTTCTTCTCGAATGTACGTATGAATACGTTTGAACAAGAAAATATTCAAAAAATTTTTTTGCCTAAAAAAACAAAAAACAAAAAAAGAATCAACAACAACAAAAAGAAAATTACACAAATGAACATAAACATAAAGTTTTTATATTCTATATATACAATTTGAGATCACCAGAAAAGAAAAAAAGACAAATTGTACAGACGAACATAGGTTTTTTTTAAATTTCTGTCGATAGACTAGACGATCACTGTTGTCGATATTTTTGAAGAGAATATTGGCTTATTTGTTTTATTTTTCTCCTTCATACAAGATAACCTTCACCAGGCAACAATGATTTTGATGATATCAATACCAATTGAGATCGTACATGTTTTAATGCATCTAATAAACGAGTTTGTTCATCATGTGTTATACTATTTCCAACAATATCATGTAAATCTGATTGATTAAAATGACATATTTGTGATAGATTTGTATAACCAGCACTCAGAAATAGTCTTATTAAACGATCAAATTGTAAATTATGAAGCCAATCAATAATAGATGTTACTTGAGCAAAATTAGGTTGATCTGGATGATTGACAAAAACAAATCTATGAAAACACAATAGATCATTTTAAAAAAATGCAATTCCTATGTCATGAAAATATGAAGCATAATGTAATTGCTGTTTCTATTCACAGACAGTTTGTTTTATATAGTCTCTGTAGAGAGAGCTGCGGAATCGAGTTCATAAAAATGTGGCCTCGCAGCTTCCTAACAACTTGTAATTGCATATCAACAACGTCCGGAATGACTCGGTATTAATAAAGTCTAGCATAGTCTGATTTACCGAACCTTTATTGTTGAGCCAACAAAAAGCTATGGTCCTTCTCAGATTACATTTCAGTTTTAACTACAAATTTTGCAAAAACAAATTTCTCAATGAAATTAGTTCATTGAATAAGCTGTAACTTTTCTAGTATTTCCTTTCTTGAAATATTAAAAATTCTCTCATGTATAAAGGCAAACTTTTTTCATAAATTTACTTCATACGAGAAAAGCTAAAAGTTGCATAATAAACTACTAATCTCATTAAGAACTTTGTTTGCACAAAGTTTGAAGTCGAAATTCAAACGTGACCTGAGAAGGACCA